ACACCCGCTCCAGCCTGGACTTGCACCGCGATCTCCTCCGGGCACCCTTCTCTCTAGTCCTGCCTCCTACAATACATTTTTTAACAATCCTGCTCAAGTGATTTGTAAATATTAAATTTGATCCATTTACTGCTTAAAGACCTTCAATGAGCTACCTTATTTGACTCCATCCTTTCATTTTCTAGCACCACCAGTCAGCGACATCAGAAGACACACACGCACACGCACACACACACGCACACACGCACACGGACCCACGCACCCCACACCACCACCACCATCTCCATCACCAGCACCAGTGCCTACCTACTTGCTCTTTCACTCACACGGCTCCTTCTACCCATAATCGCCACTCCCCTCATGGGAACCTCACGGTAAGGAAGAACTCACAAGGTTGATTTGACTCTTCTGTCCCTTCTCCCCCATGGACAGTATTAATGGGATCTGTGAGCTCCTCTTTGTCCTTTCCCTATATCATTTACAGAGATTCACACCACAGCCCCATGATAAATTATCGCAGTCATTACTTTACAAAATATATTACATTGTGATTAAATGTAAATCTTAAAATTTAAAAAGTTTAAATAAGTAATTTCCTGATCTATAAAATAAGAATAATAACCATAAAGTACCTCAGAGGATCACATGAGAATTAAATGGACACGGGTAAAATGTATAGAATAGTGTCTACGATAAGTGCTTAATAAGTGTCAGCATAACAGTTATTGTGTAGCAATTTATAGAAAATAATATAACTAACACTTATGAATCCACTTGCAATATTAAACTACATTAAGATCTTAGAATATTTGCTTCGTATGTTTTTAAAAGAAATAAAACACTACAGATACGGCTAAAATAGTAAAGCCAGCCTGAGCCTTCTCTCTTCTCCCTCCTCTCTTCTATACAGTTAACATCCTAGAGTTAGTGAACTTCATACCAATGCATGTTTAATTATACGTGTGTTTTAATTTTAGAATTATATTAATAGTGCTCCCATGTATATCCTCTCCTAAAACTTGCTTTTTTCAACCAACATTATTTTTTTTTTAATATTTAGCCATGTTGACATATTTAGCTGTACTTCTTTTATCTGCTTTATAGTGTTTGACTTAAAGACTTGACCACTGGGACCATTACTAGCAGACTCAGAAACTGTGGGACTGCTTCTACTTTACAGTATCAGAGTTATTCAGTGAACATCAATAGATAAATACTTAGATATATAGAAGATGATTGATAGATAAACAGATGATAGATAGATGATAGATAGGCAGAGATAGAGATAGATAGATGATAGATCGATAGATCGATAGATAGATGATTGACAGATAGACAGGACAGATGGAGAACAAGAAAGAATGAGAGAGAAAGAACAATCTCCTTGGGACACTTTAGAGTAAACACAGTAAGTCAAGGGTAAATCAAGATAGACTAGGTTAAGCTGCAATAACAAGTTGACCCTAACATCCACTGCCTGACTGAGTAAAGCTTCTGTGGTGATCATGCTGTATATCCAAAATGGCGGGCTCTGTGTAAGAACTGGGTTCACAGAGGACCCAGTGTCCCGGCAGCCTCACCACCTAGAATACAAGTCTTCACAACTTCTACAATAAATCTCTCTCTCATAGTCTACACACGGATTAGCACTATCTCTTTGCTCACTTATTTCTTTGCATAAAACACAGCTCCATCCTCCCTCAAGGAGACAGACCCCACCCAGTCATTACATCCAGCTCAAAGTCCAAGGTCCCTGAGGGTGACACAGTGCTTTCTCCATCAGTTGAGAACCAGGATAATTGCAGTAAATTGACAAATGGATATTCACACAAAGGGTAAGAAGTCCTTGGTCTGTAGCCCTGCAGAGGTTTTGTGAGGCTCCCCTACCAAGAAGCAGAGTGAAGTCCTGACCGCATCAGGACGGAGCTCTCGTTCAATATCCTTGTCACTGGTTTGGTCGTCCTTGTCCCCCTCGGGCACATGTGAAGTGGCCTTTGGGGAACACAGTCTCTTAAGGGACATACGGTTTCCTCAGCTCCCTTCCTGTTCCTCTTCATGGATGTTCGGGGGACCCAGGGCTGATAAAGCTTTTGAGCAGAAATAGACTTACTTACCTTGGGTTCCTGGTTGCCCTTAATAGTAAAACTCCCTCAAAAACTCAGTACACATCAAATCTATTTGCTTCCAGTCTGTTCGGTGAGCCCATGATTTGCTTAGAGTCGCTCTCAGATCTGTTTACTTTCCCATCCTCATGGCCCATCCCTAACTCTCCCTTCCACAGCCCAGAGGCTAAGAGGCTTTGGTGGAAAGGCCACACCTGTAATTCATTCTTTACTTTCAGACATAAAATCAGGTCGTAGATCTTTAAAAATCTCATCTCTTAAATCTGTGAATTCAAAGCAGTCAGATTTTCCCACACGGAGAAGCCACATTTCTGATTCTCTAATATTCCCTTTGTTTCTTTTTACAAATACCCGATCTTTCCCAGAGTTCACCTTTCTTGGCATATGTTATCAAAGCCATCCCACGTTGGCCCAAACAGGTTATGTGGCCCCCACGCAAGGAGGGCCGCAAGATGCTGGGACCACACAGGTATTTGGCGAGCTTGGTGCCAAATTATATCCCACGCTGTTCGTGTCGATTGACACTTGCCCCGCAGTGGTTAAGAGTGTGCCTCCCCATGTCCTGGCATGCATCTAGTTTACCAGGCTTTCTTTTTCATTGCTGGTATTCTTTTTACAAGTCTGCCCACAAACCGTGAACTCCATAGGGACTGGGGGCCATGTCTTCATTTCCTCATTTCCAACAACTAGCAGACCGTCTGAAATATACCTGTACTGTTGATCTAATGAATGTCACTTGAATAAATGAATGAATGGTAGGATAACTTATATTGCTTTTATTTATTTTACTTTTTTGCTTATATTCATTTTAAATGAAAAATTTGCCAATCCAAAGGATACACATAGCAAAGTGCCTGCGATAAGAGTTTGGTCTTGACAAGGTTTTATTACAATAGATGTCATAGCTCTTCAAAAGCAGTGCTCTTGTGACGGCCAGAATAAAGACTGGCACCCGCTTCCCCTCCCAAGCAAATCCGCTCAGTCCTCAATGTCTACAGTCCTCTTAAATGGAACAGCGCACCCCCCTTGGCTCTATATCCAGCTTTTCTACTTTGTCATCGGATCATCCCTGAATCTGATCTCTTGAGTGAATGGCTCTCCTTTTCTCAGCAAGTAAATTCAGCTTTGATAGTCGGTCTGCTACTTCTTAGTTCTGGTGGTGTATCTGTCACTGACCATGACTGTTTCCCTATATGTAGGCTCGCGATAAATATAAGGGGCACAGCAGGACGCAGTGTAAGAGTTTAGGAATTGAATACACCAAACCTGGGTTGGATCCCAGCTCAATTTTTTACTGTGTAGTTTAAACAAATCGATTCACCGGTCCATATAATGGGAAATAGGATGCCTACTTAATAAGGTTCCAGTGAACATATATAACCAATATAGAAGGCAACTTGAACATAGGGAATTCAAAAACATTAGTAAAGTCCAGTTTATCTCTGTATGTGATAAACATCTGCAGCGTCAGCGGCAATGTTTTTGTCTCTAAAACCAGAATGAATCACGCCCCAGGAAGAGCTAATGAATTGAAACAGAGCTGTGGTGAGCACACCACCCTGACTTTGACCTCCTGGTCCATAGAAAGCAAACCCTGCTCATCTTTTGTTCTTTCTCTCTCTCTCTGACCTCAAACTCTGCTCTTGCAAGTTAGGGTCAAATGCCTCTTGTAACTCCACCCTTACGCTGATTTTCATAACATCCTTGTACACGGTTGCCCAAAGAAATGGGACTTGTTTTGGGCCCCTGGATGGCTCAGTCAGTTGAGCATCTGACTTCAGCTCAGGTCATGATCTCACAGTTCGTGGGTTCGAGCCCCGCATCAGGCTCTGTGCTGACAGCTCAGAGCCTGGAGCCTGCTTCAGATTCTGTGTCTCTGTCTCTCTCTACCCCTCCCCCACTCATGCTGATCTCTCAAAATAAATAAACATTAAACAAACTTTTTTTTTAAAAAGTGGACTTGTGGGGCGCCTGGGTGGCTTAGTTGGTTAAGCGTCCGACTTTCGCTTAGTCATGATCTCGCGGTTCGTGGGTTCGGGCCCCGCGTCGGGCTCTGTGCTGACTGCCAGCTCAGAGCCTGGAGCCTGTTTCAGTCTGTGACTCCCTCTCTCTCTGATCCTCCCCTGCTCACACTGTCTCTCTCTCTCTCTCCTAGAAATAAATAAAAAAAACATTAAAAATTTTTTTTAAAAAAAGTGAACTTGTATTAATTAACTCTAAGCATTCAGACTGTATGACAGGCAAAATGGGGGTCAAAAAAAAATCCAAGTCACAATGGATCATGAAGATCACAATCAGTTAAGATGTGTGTGGTGCAAAGCCATGCCAGTGTGAGAATGTTTCAGAGCACTGCAACACTTACAATTAGTAAGGATGATTCAATTAAGCGAATGTTAATTATAGGATTACTATGTTTTATTAAATGTATATATGTAATGTATATATTAATGTATATTGTATATATTAAATGTATTTGCATTGGCAAATAATATTTGATCTGTACTGTAGCAGTGCTGAATTTCTTTTTGTTGTTGTTGTTTTTATTTTGTTTTGTTTTTTTATTTCTAGGAGAGAGAGAGAGACAGCGTGAGCAGGGGAGGGTCAGAGAGAGAGGGAGACACAGACTGAAGCAGGCTCCAGGCTCTGAGCTGGCAGTCAGCACAGAGCCCGACGCGGGGCTCGAACCCACGAACCGCGAGATCATGACCTAAGCGAAAGTCAGATGCTGAACTGACTAAGACACCCAGGAGCCCCAACAGTGCTGAATTTCTTATTCCTATCAAATAAGTGAAAGTATTTTTCCTTGGAGAAAATTACTGAACGAAAGCAGAAAATACTCTTAGAACTATTGTTATGAATATGTACACAAAGTAAAACTAATCTCATGCATACGTGTATTTATTCCCATATCTTGAGTAGGATACATATAGTACATTAATTTTTATTAGAAATTAAAACTGAAAAGAAACTGACAAAATGAGATGTATCTTCATTAATGTGTACATCTGCAGACATTCACGCTACGTACATGGTGGCTGTGAATTTCCATCAGTCGTTTTTCCAGTCCCTTGAGGGTTATTGTCTGTTTCCTTTAAGTTTGCAAATTCTTTGATGAAATCCCAAAGTTTCCTTAAATACAACAAATGAATACAATAGATGAGAAAAAAGGTGCCTTAAGCATAAAAGAAAATTGTTACATAAACATCTATTTTAGGACATATTTACTCAAAAACACGCAGTGAGACTTTGTAATCCTCCACTTAGGTTTTAGAGGATTTTTTGTAGCATTTTGGCCTTGGATGTAGCAACGATTCTCTCTGCCGGCACAGCCCCCCTGCAGCATTTTCCAGACTACGCAGTGAGGCAGCATTACCTTGAAGATAATGATGAGATCCATTCTCTGTCATGGCCAAACCTATGGAAGGAGCCCCCCTGATTTGGTATTCGTAATTCCCTCTTATTTTCCACTGAGGACGCCCAGTGTAACAGACGAGTCTACAAAACCTGGATCTGCCCCTGTGGTTCACGTAGCAACCATTCGAACCCCTTCTCTGGTGACTTCGTCTACCATGTAAGCTGGAAGGTAGGGTGTTCTATTTCATAGACTCCCTTGCAGCTACACATGGCCTTGGGACACAGTGCTGGGTGATGGGAGATGGGTGGAAGTCGCTGCAAGGGCCTTCCCCTCTAAATAAAACAGAAAAGCCTCATCAGGAGAAGCTCTTTGACTTTTGTCCTTTTCTTTCATCTTCTTTCTCTGAGGGGCATATATTCATGTCTCCAGGCAGCCATAATTTTTTAACATTTTAATATTTATTCATTTTTGAGAGAGAGAGAGAGAGTTCATGAGGTGGGGGAGGGGCAGAGAGAGAGGGAGACAGAATTCGAAGCAGCTCCAGGCTCCAAGCTGCCAGCACAAAGCCCGATGCGGGGCTCGAACCCATGAATTGTGAGATCATGACCCGAGTGGAAGCCGGACGCCTAACAGACTGAGCCCCCCAGGTGCCCCTGAAGACAGTCATATTGAGGAGGAAAGCCACACTCAAGGGAAACAGAGAAGGAAGAGAGAAGAACACCAGTCCCTCAATATTATCATTGAGCCTAGGCCACCTACAAATAAATGTCTTTTTATTCTTGTTACAAATTAAGTCTTTTCCCTACTTAACCCGTCAGGGGTTTTATGTTGCCCTGAGTCTCACCAAATCCTGAGATTTGAATTGTAGCACCAACTCCAAGAAAATTAACTATAGAAGCCTAAACGTGTAAAACAGATAATGTAAATCAGCCATTTCATTTTTATTTATTTATTTTTAAATGTTTTATTTATTTTTGAGAGAGAGAGAGAGACAGCGTGAGCAGGGGAGGGTCAAAGAAAGAAGCAGACACAGAATCCAAAGACAGGCTTCAGGCTCTGAGCTGTCAGCACAGAGCCTGATGTGGGGCTTGAACCCACGAACCGTGAGATCATGACCTGAGCCGAAGTCGGACGCTCAACTGACTGAGCCCCCCAGGTGTCCCCAGCCGTTTCATTTTTAAATGAAAATCGTCAGAGTAATACCAGTATAGGGCTCTTCAAAAATTTAATATGTCCAAAAGTTATATACTTTGAGAAAAGAAAGGCATGTCCCAGTCACATGCCTCCCCCCCATTCCGGATCCCTGCCCATGAGAAGTTAGCCTCAATTCTTCAGTTCTTTCCAAATAACCTACTTCTACATTGCTAAATAGTATGTATGGATTGAAATTTAAATCTTGGGCTAAGCATTCTTAAGCACAGGAAAGGATGGAACATGTATGTTTAACACTCGTGAATATAAACATCTCAAAAGGACGGTCTAGTCTCATCTAGATCTGAATGGATGGCTTTGAGAGTAGCATGAGATTGTCTCACTTCTTTTACCACGGCATCAATACTTACTGCTTCTCCTGCTCACTCATCTTATGCTCCCCTATGTTCTGCTTCACACTGTTTTCAATCATCTACCAAGAACAAAAAATCATTAGGGCATGTATAATGGCATGGTATTGGCAATATATATTAACAATAACATTGAACCAAAATGGAATACAATGTCTGGAATCAGGCATAACGTACTCATCTATACAGTATATAATACAGAGGAATATACCTACATCCTAGAAGCAGAACTATAATCCATTAAGCAGCAGATTCTTAGTACGAATTTTGGAGGGCTATCCTGAAAGTCGTTAGAGGAACCAGTTCATTAGATTCCTTTTCATCAAGTAAACTCATTACAATTCATTGTTATGCGTGGAAGGGTTAGAGAAATGGTCAATTCTGATTGGTATATCCAACTATTTTAAAAGGACGTTTATTTTTTTCACTATTAGATTACACCTGTCCAGTTTTAAGCTAATGTCCACGTAGTGAGATATTCCTAGCATTACAGAAAGTTATCGTTTAGAAAGATAACACATATATTCCTATTTTGTGTATGACACAATACAAGAAGTACACAGCACTACAGGAAATATTTCTATTGAAAAACACTGATTCACATAAACTTACGTGTATTTTCTTCTTTAAAATTCTATTTGCTGTTTCCAATTTCATAGCTTCATTCTGAAGAAGAAATGGTTTTAAAAGTAAGATACTTGGTTAAGAATATATGTTAAATACTTTTACCCACTTATGGAACAAAAATACATAAATGACGTTATTCTAAGTTCAAAAGCAGCCAATAGCACATCATTTGAAAACATGAATAAACAAAGCATGACTGGAAGGACATGTAGTAAGTAAGACAGAAAGATCCTAGCCCTCTAGGGGGCAAACGCTAGTAGAGATAAGGGTTGATAGTACACAAACCTAGAGAGGTTTAGGGAAATTCTAGAGCAGTTCCTCAATTTTCATAACTAAGAACAGAATTTGTTAAAGTGGCTGAATACAGTATAAAAATACAAATATCAGTAAGTCACATATATACCAGCAATAACTAATTATAAACTGTAAAGTAAATGTTTTTAAAGCTCCCATTAACAATAGTAACAGACACCATAAAGTCACAATAGCAAACATAAAAAATGAGGAACCAGTGCATAAAAATAAATTAAGTAAATATAAAATGACCCTTGAGGGGAGTGTTGATATTGCAAAGCTGTAACTTCTTCCCAAATTAATCCATAAGTTCATTGTAAACATAGTCAAAATACTAAGAGTATTATTGCTGAAACTTGAAAAATATTTGATGCTGTGAATGAGAATAGTCAAGATAATTGTGAACAAAATCATGATGGGCAGAGGGTGTAAACACCTGCTCTTTCAGATAGTTGACATATTGAACAGTATTAGCAATTACACCAGTGAATCTGGATAGCGTATAATTAAAAACCTAAACTGAGCTTTAATCCCAATTCTATTGCTTTCTCACTGTGACCTCAATCAAGTTCTTTAGCTTGGTGCTGTGGTTTTCTCATCCGAAAAAGAGGCTAATAATAGCTTAAGGTTGTTGGAAATTATATGAAATAGTATTTTTTAAATGTTCACAGTAGTATCTGGCACATCGTAAATCCTTGATGCATTTAGTTATGTTTTATTCTGCTTAGAAATGACATATTTCAAATCCAAAACCAGAAATGAATTACTATATAAGATAGTAAATGCAATTGTATTATGGCTTCTAGCATTTGATTTAAGGAGTAAAATATAAATAATAAAGAGTTAAAGTAATATAAATTAGTGATATGGAACCCTTATAGAGATTCTTCGATTTCCTAGATTCAATCCACGTTAAGAGGTTTCAATCATGAAGGAAAATTTAACATGGCTTAACATTACATGTGTGATAATAATGTAAATGTATCACAAGATTTAAAGCTTTAACATATTATTTGCAAAGTTTGAAAATTCAACTGTAAATTAGTGTTCATTCTCAGGACATGATTCCATTTAAAAATGAACAGTCTGTAAACAAAATCACAGAAGGAAATCTGAACTATTTTCAAAGAAAGAGAAGTCAAAATACGTTTAAACCACTGCTAACTTCCTATACACTTTATAATTCTCCTTTTTAAAAAAAAGTTTTAAAAAACAGTGCTGGGAGAACCTTTGTAATTATATAACCATGAGAAAAAGAAGAATCATAGAACATTTTAAAACATAGACTACAATTAACATTATAGTGTTCATCATTGGTTCGTCAAAAATGGTTAGTAATAATTGTTAAAGACTATTTTTAATATAGTGGACTTTCCTTTCAATGGCAGTAACTAATTCCTATCTTCTAGCATAACTGTTCAACTCAATGAAAATCGAACTATGAAGTTTCAATGTGACACAATGAAAATCATAGGGCTTTGGAACCCCAAAAGTATTAAGCTCGAATCCCAGCTTTGCCACCTCTAAACTGTGTCATATTGGTCAGGTCACTGAACCCCTCTGAGCTTCACCTCAAGCAAATTAGTACATATCGGATACTAAATGATGGCTGTCATCACCTTCACGACAAACACCTTCTATACAAAATTGTCAAGAGATATTAGTCGACTTGAAAGAGATCCACTCTGAACCTTAACAGAACTCTACATAATTTTTATCACCTTTATTTTTGTTGTTTTGCTAGATCTCTTCATTCTTCTAATCATTTGCTACAAACGTTTCACAATTAAAATATATTGGACAAAATTTTCCATTTTTTTTACCTAATGGCAAAATGAAATTGCTTCATGTGTTTGCCAACCCCTTCAAGCAAAAGACCAATGTAAACATTGAAATAAATAAACTACATACCTCTATGCTTTTAACCCTATTTTCAGTGATATGTGAAATTCCAGTATGAATCAAAGTTGTTTTAATTTCTCTTTCAAGAGCTTGAATTTCATCCCATTTGCTGAGTATTTCACACCTCTTCTTTTCAACCTTTTCAATAAGAGTAAGGTGATCCTCATCCATTACACTTTTCTTAGATGATTCTGAAAATATTTTTAAAAGCAAAGTATTACTGTATTTAGTATGTCATGTCTTATTATTAGTATTAGGCATTATTAACAGTATAATGCATGTTATATATTGCCATAAAATATGATGTAACTCAAGCTTCAAGCACAAATTCATTTATATAATCAAAAAGTAATTATGGAGTGCCCCATCTGGGCGCCTAACACTGTGGGGGGAAGGTATGAGGACGACTTTGCAGAAGTGTGACAAAGTTGATGACCAAAGGATGAACAGGAGTTGGGGAAGCAGAAGGGGACTGGGGGAGGGGGAGCAGAAGAGCAGATTTTGCCACATTTCAGTAAAAAGAAAGTTATAGAGTAGTGTGGGGACTTTGAGGGCCGGGTGAGTGGCATCAATAAATTACACTAGAGAGGAAGCAGGAGAAGATCTGAAAAGGTCTTATAATCTATGTTAGGAAATCAGTCGAAGCTGTTGAAGGCTTTTGAGCTGGGATAAACCAAGCACACAAGGGTCACTCTACCAAACCGAAAGTGGAGGAGAAAGACCAGGGCTGGGACAGGAAAATGAGTCAGGAAGCTACTGCCATCATTCAAACAAGATCAGAGCAGGATCGTACCTGTCGCAGAGAGAAGTGGAGAGCTACAAAAATGATTTAGGGAATGGAAACAAGGAGGGCTTGGCAACTGATGGGATCTGAATGTAGAGGGAGAGGTAGACATCAAAATAACCCCTAGGTTTCAGCTTTGCTACAGCTAGGAACAGATGCGGTGGGAGAGAAGTGAGTTCAAGGCAGCAGAGAGGTAAGAGAGCTGGGTTCGAATTCCATGTTGGCCATTAACGACCAGCTATGCTGAAGCGGTTGATGGGGTAAGGAGGGGAAGATTCTGCCACACGCTTTCTAACTTGACCTCCATGTGTTTGGTGATGCCGTTCATCGAAGCAGAGAGTTTAGTCTCAGATGTGGTGGGTTGAGGGGCACCTATGGGATACTCAAGTAGACACATCCAGAAGGAAGTTGGATACACAGATCTCAAGCCTAAAAAGTAGATCTGGGCAGGAAAGATTTGAACTCAAAGATGTGTGTGTTGAACCAAAGACATGCCAGGCTCTAACGAAGGTCAATATCTAAGGATTCAGAAAAGAGATGATGACATTGAGAGCAAGTCACCGCTGACAGTATTTGATGATCCAACAGCACAGTGACATCCTGACTAGAATGCAACTCATCATATGTAACTCACTAGAGTAGTAAGACAAATTTTTTGGATAAATAATGACTACCCCTTATTGATAAGGAAAAAAAGGCAATTCGAAAGAGTGATAATGCTTACCTGCGTATAGTGAGCAAGGTGGAAACCACCACCATTATTCAACTTGCCAAATTTGGAAGAAGAGAAAACTCTGAAGGTGAGTTAGCTGGGAAACTAGTTAAGCAGATACACGAGGAACTAACCAAGCAGGCAGAAACAGCCAGAGTTCAGCTTCTACCCACAAAGTCTGCTCCCTACCTTAGCCTAAGCTGAGGGTTTTAACCTGCAACAATTAACTGAGGGCATAGAAGTCAAAAGGAGCATAAAGTCACTCAAATGACCCAACTGTTAGCCTTTTCCTACCTAAGGAGGAAGACTGAGGTACGAAAATGGGGAAATTCCACAGAAAATATATGGTTGGCAGAGAGGCTCCTGAATGAGAAAGCTTTGGGGGGAAAAAATGAACACAGGCCACCAGATTTCTTCAGTAGCACTGGAAAAGTGTCAGCAAGAGCTGGAATCAAATATTAAGAAAAGTTTGCTACAGTTCTAGAAATTAGTATGTCCTCTTGTTTATTATTTTTTATCTCTGTTCATTTTATCCTGTTAGCAGTTAGCAATAGAGCCCTTACATTTAAAAGAAAAAAGAAACAAATACTATATGAATCTGCTCATAAATGGAATCTTGAAGAAGGAGGAGGGGGAGGAGGGGAGTAACTACAGGGAATAATCTGACGCTGGCCAGAGGGAAGGGGATGGAGGGATGGGTAAAGGGGGCTCAGGGGAGAGGGAGACACAGGCCTCCGGTTACGGAATGAGTAAGTCACGGGAATGAAAAGCACAGCATAAGGAATGCAGTCAAGGATACTGTGACAACAACGTGCTGGGACTCTTGGTGGCCGTGTGTGTGGCAGGCACAGCATCGTGCGTGAACTGATCAAATCACCAAGCTGTGCACCTGAAACTAACGAAACGTTGCGTGTCAATTATACTCACATTAAAATTGAGACAAAAAGGGAAATGGTGGGCTTGTGTTAGGAGACAGCAAGGACCCAGAAAACAGTGACCTGGAGTCCCATCCGTGACCTGCCTGTAAGAGGATCCCAAGAAGAGGCAACATGTGTGCAGGAGAAAGACGGGCCAACCACCCCCGGAGCCCTGAGAAGGGGTCAGAAGACGAGCCCTGAGCCAGCCCCTCCAGACACCCCCGAAGGTGGCCCGCAGGTCAATCACACCGGTGTCGTCCACAGGAGGAAAGAACTAGCAGAAGGAAGCAAAAGACCCCAGCGAGAACCTGTGAGGCCAAGTTCTTCTAAGAACTTAAAACGGGTGCTATCTGTGAGTACATCCTAAAAGCTGCTGAGAAGGGGGAAGCTTAACCAACTGAGCCACCCAGGCGGCCCTCATTTGGTCAGTTTCTTAGGCTCTATGCCAAATGTCTTCCTCAAAACTTGACAGAATTCTTTCTATAAAACTTGACTTAATTCAGCGTTCCACTAAAAACCACAAAGATCCTAGAGAAGAGTGAACTAGTGCACACGTTGTATCAGCTCCAGAGAAACTGGAAAACCAAAGGTGCCCAAAGCAACAGAAACTGAAGTAACAATCTTCCCCCTGACGGATCTACCAGTGAGATGAACTCCTTCCTGTGCCTTTAAAGTAGTTCGTTTAAACCACCTCAGATTAGGGGCGCCTGGGTGGCTCAGTCGGTTGGGCGTCCGACTTCGGCTCGGGTCATGATCTTGTTCGTGGGTTTGAGCCCCGCATCAGGCTCTCTGCTGACAGCTCAGAGCCTGGAGCTGCTTCCGATTCTGTGTCTCCCTCTCTCTCTAACCCTCCCCTGCTCACACTCTGTCTGTCTCTCTCTCAAAATAAATAAACGTTAAAAACTTTAAAAATGAATAAAAATAAACCACTTCAGATTAAAGGAAAACTTGTATATTTCTAAAGAACTTGATGGAAAAAATATAAATAAAATTTAATTTAATCAGCTCTCTAGAAAAAAAAAAAAGAAAATGCTTCCAAATAAATAAAAGCAGGAGACCCTAAGTCATGGACGAGAACGTGAAGATTCTCCGCCCAAAGGTCAGAAGAACAGCATCACACAATTACTTGCCTGATTTTTCCTTAGCAGATTGCAGCAACTTGTGCTCTGTCTCCAGTTCACTTCTGAGTCTACAGGGTTGATAATAAAAAAATAGTAAAATATCAGAACTCCATTTACACCTTTCATCTTTCATCTGTTTTATGCCACAGGTCTTTTTAAAACATTGAGAAATACAAAGTGATCTTAGTTTCGATCAAAAAAGGTCATTTGAAAATCTATATAAAATGAGAGCCTACATCAGTCAAACTAAATAAACAAAAGAATACTTTCTTACCAAGGCTGCACAACCCACCAGTTGAAGAGGCTGGTGAATATAAAATCAATGATCTCCTCTACTGTTTGCAGATATTGTTGTGTTACTTGAATTTCTACAAAGACGGGAAGCACAGAAACTAGCATTTACACTCTGAGATGAAGAACAGACAGGGGGCAGTGGAAGCACATCACTGTGGCTGGAACACACACTACATGTCCCCTGTGCATTCTGGTTTCCTCCCACAGACACAATTCACAAATTCCACTACACTTATGCTAAACATGAAATAGAAGAAATTTTAGGAGTGCCTAGATGGCTCAGTCAGTTAAGTGTCCAACTCTTGGTTGTGGCTCCGGTCACGATCTCACAGTTTGTGGGATCAAGCCCCACAGTGGGCTCTGTGCTGAGCATGGAGCTTGCTTGGGATTCTCTGTCTCCTTCTCTCTCTGCCCCTTCCCCACTCAGACTCTCTCCTTCTCTCTCAAAACAAATAAATAAAAACAAACAGAAATTTTAAAAGAAGCAAATGAAAACACTTATAATTTCTTTGTATCCTCCCCCTGGTTCCCAAAAACAAAGAAACTAAACTAAATCAACTGTATTATTTCTCATAGATTTCGAGGGGGGCAAAGGGGGAGTTAATATGGACAGAAAACCCCTGTGATTTGGTTAAAAATATCAATACCACAAATGAGTCAATGCTGCCTGCCTGCAAGAGGCCTAATGGTTAAATATTTTCACATACATTAGCTCATTTCATCAGAGATTAAAAGAAACAGAAAGGTATTATGACCCCCAATGTTAAGAGATTAAATGAATTAATAATAATCCTAACAGTCTTTGCAGTATATAGATACAGGGTATTTCACTTCTAAAAATGTTTAATGTATTACAGTTTTAAGTATTATGTTCTGTCTCATTGCTTTTTCTTCTCCTGAGACTTAATATGTACGTTGGATCTTCTTTGCCTGTCTTCTACCTCAACCACTTTTTCTCTGATGTTTTTCTTTTCTCATCTCATTTTCATTCTCTTGCTTGTTCCGCTTTTCTCTAATGCTCTTTATTGTATTGTCACTCAAGACGATTCCTGCTTGGGAGTGTCCTAACTTCGTCTGGATCTATGACATAATTTTGACTTTTTCAATTATCTTTCCTCAGTGGCCAAACCTTGATTTACATCTTCCTTTTTATTGTCATTAATTGCTGTGCTTATTGTTTACATTACTGACTCAAGATCGTTTTCATATCCAGAAATGCTCTTTAGGGAATATTTAAGTTTGGAGAGTTGTGGCAGTTTTCTTCTCCAAATTCTTGTTGTTGTTGGGTGGCAGAGATTTTCATCAACTAAATTGCTTGGGCCCTCATTTTCTGTTCTCTCTTGATAGTCATTTGTACAGACAGAGATCATTTGTACCTATGCATTTCTGGGGGCAGGCCTAGGGGTTTGGGTGGTGTGTGAGGTTCCTGATTCAAGAGGATGTGTTTTTTGTCGAAATAGCAAAGGAGGCTTTTGTTGTTGTTTTGGGGTATTTTATTTTGATTTTTTTACAGGATAACCTTTTTTTTTGGAGGAAAGAAAGAACAGTAGTGGAAGGGTTGTGTGCCCTTCAATCTCCTACTTTTATGGGATTCTAAATTCCCCGCCTCTGTTGTTTTAAAGGATGCTGATCACTTCCTTTTAAACTTGTTCTCACCATATGATCATTTCAGAATTGGCTCTTTGCTTCCATGCTCACTCTGAAGTCCATTCCTTCTAAGTTAGTGCTCTGACAGATCGACCAGTAACTTCTGTGTTATTATTTAGGGAAGCTGCTCTCTCTCCCTCCCTCCTTCTGTCTCTCCCTTTCCCTCTGTCTCTCCCTCCTCCCTCTCCCTTTCTTTCTCCACCCCTCTGTCCTTCTCTTTCTCGCTCCCTTTCCCTTCTTCTCCCTCCCTTTCCCTTCTTCTCCCTCCATTTCTCTCCTCACCACTCTCTCTTTCTCTCTCTCCCTCCCTTTCAAACCTCACCCCTCTGCCAGCAGAATAAGAGATATAATAAAGATCAGAGCAGAAAGAAATAATATAGAATCCAAAAAAACCCCAGCAGAACAGATCAATGAAACTAAGAGCTGGCTTTTTGAAAAAATAAACTAAATTGATAAACCCCAAGCAGGAAAAGAAAGAGGACCCAAATGATAAAATCATGAATGAAATTGGACTTATCATGAAAACAATGATCAGGGAACACTATGAAAATTTACATGCCAGGAAACTGGACAACCTGGAAGAAATGGACAAAGTCCTAGACACCCAAACACTACCAAAACTCAAGTGGGAAGAAAGAGAAAATTTGAACAGACCCATAACTAGTGAAGAAATGGTATCAGTTATCAAAAATCTCCCAACAAATAAGAGTCCTGGGCTAGATGACTTCCCAGGGGAATTCTATCAGACATTTAAAGTAGAGTTAATGCCCATCCCTCTCAAGTTGTTCCAAAAAATAGAAACAGAAGGAAAGTTTCTGAACTCATTCAATGAGCCCAGCATTACCTTGATTCCCAAACGAGACAGAGACCCCACAAAAAAGGAGAATTAGAGGCCAATATCCCTGATGAGCATGGATGCAAAAATTTTGAACAAGATACCAACAAATAGAATTCAACAGCATATAAAAAGAATTATTTACCATAATCAAGTGGGATTCATTCCTGGGCTACAGGGATGGTTCAATATCTACAAATCAATCAGTGTGATACATCACATTAATCGAAGTAAGGATAAGAACCATATGATACTGTCAGTAGATACAGAAAAAGCATTCGACAAAATACAGCATCCTTTCTTTAAAAAACCCTTGAGAAAATCGGGATAGAAGGAACATATGTAAACATCATAAAAGCCATTTATGAAAGGCCCACAGCTAATATCATCTTCAATGGGGGAAAACTGAGTGAGAGCTTTCCCCGAGATCAGGAACACGACAGGGATGTCCACTCTTACCACTGGTGTTTAACATAGTTTGGAAGTCTTCTCCTCAGCAATAAGACAACAAAATGAAATAAAATGCATCAAAATTGGCAAAAAAGAAGTCAAACTTTCACTTTTTGCAGATGACATGACACTCTACATGGAAAGCCCAAAAGATTCCACCAAAAAGCTGCTAGAACTGATATGTGAATTCAGCTATGTTGCAGGGTACAAAATCAATGTACAGAAATTGATTATATTTCTATACAATAATAGTGAAGCAACAGAAAGAGAAATCAAAGAACTGATCCCATTTACAATTGTACCAAGAACCATAAAATATCTAGGAATAAACCTAACCAAAGATGTAAAAGATCTGTATGATGAAAACTAGAAAACTTAAGAAGAAAATTGAAGAAGACACTAAGAAATGGAAAAACATTCCATGCTCGTGGATTGGGAGAACAAATACTGTTAAAATGTCAATACTATCCAAAGCACTCTACATATTCAGTGCAATCCCAATCAAAATTGCACCAGCATTCTTCTCAGAGCCAGGACAAACTATCCTAAAATTTATATTGAACCACAAAAGATTCTGAATAGCCAAAGTAATATTGAAAAAGAAAACCAAAGTAGGAGGCATCACAATCTCAGACTTTAGCCTCTACTACAAAGCTGTGACCATCAGGATAGTATGGTATTGGCACAAAAACAGACACATAGACCAATGGAATAGAAAAGAGGACCCAGAACTGGACTCCCAAGTGTATGGCCAACTAAACCTTAACAAAGCAGGAAGGAGTATCCAATGGAAAAAAGACAGTCTCTTCAGCAAATGGTGCTGAGAGAACTGGACAGCAACATGCACAAGAATGAAACTAGATCACGTTCTTACACCATACACAAAACTAAACTCGAAATGGATGAAAGACCTAATTGTGAGACAGGGAACCACCAAAACCCTAGAAGAGAAAGAGGAAACAACCTATTTGACCTCAGCTGCAGTAATTTCTTACTCAATACATCTCCAAAGGCAAAGGAATTAAGCAAAAATGAACTACTGGGACCTCATCAAGATATAAAGCTTCTGCACGGCAAAGGAAACAATCAACAAAAGTAAAAGGCAACTGACAGTATGGGAGAAGATATTTGTAAATGACATTTGGGATAAAGGATTAGTATCCAAAATCTATAAAGAACTCACCAAACTCTACACCCAAAAAACAAATAATCCAGTGAAGGAATGGGCAGAAGACATGAATAGACATTTTTCCAAAGAGGACATCCAGATGGCCAACAGACACATGAAAAGATGCTCAGTGTCACTCATCATCAGGGAAATACACATCAAAACCACACAGGGATACCACTGCATGCCTGTCAGAGTGGCTAGAATGAACAACTCAGGAAACTACAGATGCTGACAAGGATTGGAGAAATGGGCACCCTCTTGCTCTGTTGGTTGGAATGCAAACTTGTACAGCCCCTCTGGAAAACAACGTGGAGATTCCTCAAAAAAATTAAAAATATTACTACCCTACAACCCAGCAATAGCACTGCTAGGAATTTACCCAAGGGACACAGGAGTGCTGATGCATAGGAGCACATGTACCCCTATGTTCATAGCAGCACTCGCAACAATAGCCACAACACGGAAAGAGCCTAAATGTCCATCAGCTGACGAATGGATCAAGAAGATGTGGTTTATCTATACGATAGAATACTACACAGCAATGAGAAAGAATGAAATCTGGCCTGTGTAGCAACATGGATGGAACTCGAGGGTGTTATGCTGAGCGAAATAAGTCAGGCAGAGAAAGACAGATACCATATGTTTTCATTCATATGTGGATCAGGAGAAACGTAACAGAAGACCATGGGGGAGGGACAGGGGGAAAATGGTTACAAACAGAGAGGGAGGGAAGCAAATCAGGAGACTCTTAAATACAAAGAACTGAGGATTGATGGGGGGAGCGGGGGAGAGGGGAAAATGGGGGATGGGCACTGAGGAGGGTACTTGTGGGGATGAGCACTGGGTGCCGTATGTAAGCGATGAATCACAGGACTCTACCCCTGAAACCAAGAGCACACTGTACACACCGTATGTCAGCCAATTTCACAATAAATTATGTTTTAAAAAGGAAGGGAGGGTGTGAGGGAAGGAGGAAGGTAAAGAGGGAAGGAGGGAGGGATCACAGCTTGGAAGATGGGATGTGGTCAAGATGACGACACTCCCCCAGGCAGTCCACCAGATCAATTCAATCCCTTTCAAAGTCCCATAGGCCATTTCAGCAGAAGTGAAAGGGGCATATCTTTAATACAAGTTTGCAAAAGGGGGCGCCTCAGTGGCTCAGTGCTTCAGTGTCCAACTTCCGCTCAGGTTGACATCTCGTGGTTCGTGAGTTTGAGCCCATATTGGGCTCACAGCTGTAGGCTTAGCGGCTGCTCCAGCTCTTCTGTCTCCCTTCCTCTCTCTCAGAAATAAACAAACATTAAAAAAAAAACCCTCACCCCTTCTCTCTCCCCCTCCCTCATCCCCCCTTTCTCTCCCCACCCTTCCTTCTCTCTCTCTCTCTCCCTCCCTTTTTCTCCTCGCCTGTCTCAACCTCTCTCTCTCTCTCTCCCTCCCTCCCCCTCTCTCCCTCCCTCCCTCTCTCTCTCTCTCTCTCTCTCACTGGTCTTAGATCATGTTAGGTCTTCTATCAGATCCATTCTTCTCTCTTCCCCCACTGCCCTTTCTGTCATGAAGTTTTGCAGAAAAACAGTAGATAATGATTCACTGCCATTTGATGTACATTTTTAAATTTTCAAATATTTTGAAGTTTGGATGCTTTCTGTCTTCTGGTTATACTGAAGGCAGTTTTGTTTTTTGTTTTCTTGTTTCCTGTTTTGCTTTTTTGAGGATGTTTTGGGTGTGCTGGCTTTGCGTCAATCTTTTTTTTTTTTAATCCTCTACAAAAAATATGCCCTATCCAATTGTGATTTCATCTGGAAGACTCTACAGAAAGGTTAAAAGATTGTTTTAAGTTTAAAAAAAAAAAAAAGGAATAAGCCCATTCACGAATGACCGCTCTGCTGCAGCGTCACCTACCAGCAGGTCCCCAGGGGACCACCAAGGAAGACGAGATTCCCTCAGAACCCATCCCAAACCAGCCTCCCCATACAAACACCAGGTCTGGTTGAATTTCCCAGTCCCAGATGTGGTGGCTCAGGAAAGAGGCCAGATGACGGGCACCCTATGAGGGGACGCAACGTGCCTCCCGGAACAAATGCAGGAAAGATTTAAGGATATGCTTGTCGTGTGGTTTGAATACATTGTACAAGAGGAGAACCCAGCATAGATCAAATCAGACTGTTAACCCTCACCTGTCATTCCGCTCCAGGGCTGCTCTGGTGGCCGTCACAGTCGCTCTCAGCTCCTCCCTGGCCCGGCTGACATCTGCTGTCTTCACAGACCTCCTCTCCAGGCCCTTGGCGTTGGCCAGCAGCATCTAGGCAGGGCAAGGCCATGGCGGGTGAGACACACAGCAAGGGTGAAAATGTTCCTTCTTAGTTATTACAGTGTGTTCAAGAGATTTTGAGTCAAAACAGAAATTCTAGGATTTTGAGAATTGAGAGGAAAATATCAGAGGAAGGATAATTCTTCATGTGAAGATCTGGATAAGATATTGTTTAAAAAAATTTTAAGGTTCTATTTTATTAAGACAATTAAAAAGTGGTGGGGTTTCACTGTAGGTTTGTGTGGGGAAAGGAAATGCTAAATAAAGTGCTCCAAGTATATTATCATCCGCACCAGTTATTTAGTGAAAAACCATTTAATGCAATTATTCTACATGGATATAAAGCAGTGCTGGACTCATACGTGGAGAGACAAGGTCTCTGCTTTAGACGATGGGCTGCCATGTTTCCAGAAACAGAAAGAAGAGCTGATGTCCTGTGGGCCAGGGGACTTTTCATGCTGGTGTTTGGTTGAAATAAGCACACATATGTTCATTTTGGACTCAACTTCAAAAACTAAGCAACAGGGTAGGCCCCCAACTAGATCCTTTGCTTATTCCTATCAAACAAAAGCTTACTTTTCTGGGGTGCCCAGATGGCTCAGTTAGTTTAGCATCTGACTCTTAGTTTTAGCACAAGTCATGATCTCACAGTTCATGAGATGAGCCCTGCATCGAGCTCTGTGCTGACAGTGCAGATCCTACTCAGTATTCTCTCTCTCCCCCTCTCTCTGCCCCTTCTCCACTCATGCTGCACTTGCTCTCTCTCTCTCTCTCTCTCTCAAAATAAATAAACTTAATAAAGTAGATCATCTCTCCCTCTTAGTTTGCCCCTCTCCCCTGCTCACTCTCTCTCTCAAAATAAACTTAAAAAAAGATTGCCTCTCCCTCTTCCTCCGTCCCCTCTCCGGCACGTGCGCACACACACACACACTCTCTCTCTCTCTCTCTCTCTCTCTCTCAAAATACTAAATCTTTTTTTATTTTTATTTTTTTTATTTTTATTTTTTTATGTATTTCTAGGAGAGAGAGAGAGTATGTATTTCTAGGAGAGAGAGAGACAGCGTGAGCAGGGGAGGGTCAGAGAGAGAGGGAGTCACAGACTGAAACAGGCTCCAGGCTCTGAGCTGGCAGTCAGCACAGAGCCCGACGCGGGGCTCGAACCCAGGAACCGCGAGATCATGACCCAAGCCAAAGTCGGACGCTTAACCGACTAAGCCACCCAGGCTCCCCAATATATCTTTTTTTTTTTTTTTTAAATCATCCTAAATACCCCAGATATGGACCTGAGGACTAGCCGAACAAACTCCACAAATAAAGGGAGAGAAGAAGTCACATCACAGAGAGTAAGAAGCGCAGAGACACAGTCTGGGAGAGATGGACCTTGCCAGTGTGGTGGGGATGGAGCCACGATTGCAAACAGGGTAGGAGAGGCACTAGCACACAGGGGACCCCACACGGTGGACACAAATCCCCAAAGCAACTGGCTTTGGGAAAGCGAGAGGGGCTGAATTTCACGAGCTCTCGCAAGCAGTGGGGCTTCAAGCCTGGAGTTTAAAGCGCAGCGGGTTGGCCCAGGGGAAGCCCAGAGGGCACGGGGGCTGCTGCGGGAAGGAAGGCAGAGCGGCCGGCCCAGGGACATGCAGTGTGGGAACAGCAATCGGAGGCCAGGGCACTTCCCGTCTCGGAGCGTGTTCCAGAGACGACGCGTCCCAGGGACCCCGGCCGAGAACAAGGGCACCGGCAGGCGCCGGGCACAGGGCCAGCTGCACGCGCACTACCTAACTTGCTTCCGCCAGGCCCCCGAGCCCGCCCTGTGCCTCAGTGGGGCCGGCCCTCCCAGCCACGCTCGCTGCAGCCCCAGCGCAGCCCAAACTGCCGCGAAGAACGGCCGGACCCCTGGCGACCCCGTGTCTCCCAGCCTGGGGGTTCTGCCGGCCCGGGCTCCAGCGGTGCTGGCAGCAGGCTCATTTCACAAGCCGGCGAGAGCACGCCGAGTTACAACGCACCACGCTCAGGCAGGGGACCAAGCACCCCCCGGGCAGCCTCCTCAGAATCCCGGCCAGAAGCGTGACCCGGCCAGGACGCAGCAGCACAGTGCACCCAGGGCACCGGGGGACACTCCCGAGCACGGCCCGGGGGCGGGGGGCGCCGCGCGCTCCCTCGTCTCTTCCTCATGAGGCCACTGCCCTAAATAACAGGAGACGTAGCTGACCTTCTTCACACGCAGAAACAGGCCCACGGAAACTTGGACAAAATGAGAAAACAGATGAATTTGTCCCAAACGAAAGGACAGGACAAGGATATGGCCAGAAATCTAAGTGAAACAGGTGTTAAGTAACATGCCTGGAATATTTAAAGTAATCATAAAGATACTCACTGGGCTTGAGAAAGAAGTAGAAGGTATCAGTGAGACCCTTAACACAGAAATAAAGAATAACAGGGGCGCCCGGGGGGCTCAGTAGGTTGAGCATCTGACTTCGGCTCAGGTCATGATCTCGTGGTTCGTGGGTTCGAGCCCCGCGTCGGGCTCTCTGCTGACAGCTCGGAGCCTGGAGCCTGTTTCGGATTCTGTGTCTCCCTCTCTCTCTGCCCCTCCCCTGCTCACGCTGTCTCTCTCTCTCTCTCTCTCTCTCTCAGAAATAAATAAAACATTAAAAACAATTTAAAAAAAGAATAACACAGCACAGAGAAAAGGTTTAATAAATGAGAAACTCACTTTATGCAATGAACAGCAGGCTGAGAGAAACAGAGGAATGAATTAATGACGCAGAAGACAGAGTAATGAGAAGTAATCAAGCTGAACAAAAGAAAGAAAAAGGGAATTATGCAAAATGAGATTACACTTAGGGAAGTCAGTGGCCCCATCAAACATAATAACATTCCCATTATAGGGATCCCAGAAGAAGAAAAGAGAGAAGAGAGGACAGAAAATTTATTCGAAAAAGTAATAGCTGAAAACTTCCCTAATCTGGGGAAGGAAACAAATATCCAGATCCAGGAGGCATAGAGAACCCCCCAAAAAATCAACAAAAGCGGATCCACACCATGCATATTGTAATTAAAATGGGCAAAATGTAGTAATAAAGGAAAAAATTTTTAAAGGGGCAATACGAAAGGAGACAGTTACATACTGTAGCCAAGAATAATCTATCCAGTGAGGCTTTCATGTTGAAAAGAAGGCGAGATAAAGAGTTTCCCAGACAAAAAAACCAAAAAAACAAAAAACCAAAAAACCGAAAGGAGTTCATGACCACTAAACCACACCTACAAGAAACATTAAAGGGGATGCTTTGAGTAAAAGAAAAGAACAAAAGTTACAGTGTGAAGACAGGAAACACAAAAGCAGTGAAAATGAATATTTTTTTTCTATGTTTTATTTCATATTTGAGAGAGAGAGCAGGGGAGAGGCAGAGAGATGGACACAGAATGTGAAGCAGGCTCCAGTCTCTGAGCTGTCAGCACAGAGCCCGACATGGGACTTGAACTCACAAACAGTGAGATCATGACCTGAGCCAAAATCAGACACTTAACCGCCTGAGCCACCCAGGTGCCCTGATATTTCTATAAAAACTCTGCAAAGGAACCCAAGGAACAAAAGGGTGTAAAGTATGACACCATGTACCTAGAATGTGGAGAGGGGAAGAGTGAAGAATGGGGTCAAACTTAAATGACCATCAACTTAATACAGACTGCTGTGTATGGAAGACGTTATATACAAACAATAATAATAATGGTAACCACAAGTCAAAAACCAATAACATATATACAAAGAATAAAGAAAGAAATCCAAATATATCACAAAGGAAAGCCAGTAACCATGAAAGAGGAAAAGAAAAGGATCAGAGAAAAACTTCAGAAATGACCATAAAATAAGTAACAAAATGGCAATAAACACATATCTATCAAAAATTATTTTGAATGTAGACTAAATGCTCTAATCAAAATTCACGGCATGACAGTATGGATAAAAAACAAGACTCGTCTATAAACTGCCTACAGGGGACTCATTTCTGACCTAAAGGCACTTGCAGATTGAGGGGATGGAGGAACATCTATCATGCAAATAAATGTCAAAGAAAGCTGAAGCAGCAATACTCTCATTAGACAAAATAGATCTTAAAACAAAGACTGTAACAAGAGACAAAGAAGGACAGTATATAGTAACAAAGGGACACTCTAATAAGATAGAACAATTGTAAATATTTATGCGCCCAACATGAGAGCACGCAAATACATAAAACAGTTAATAATAAACATAAAGGAAGAAATTGATAGTAATGCCATAATAGTAGAGGACTTCAACACCCCACTTACATTAATGGACAGATCATCCAATCAAAAAATTAACAAGGAAACAACAGTATTGAATAACACATTGGTCCAGGTGTATTTAATAGATATATTTAGAACATTCCATTGTAAAACAGCAAAACACACATTCTTTTCAGGTGTACATGGAACATTCTCCAGAATAAATCACATACTGGACCACAAAACAAGTCTCAACAAGTTAAAAAGGATCAAAATCATACCATGCATCTTTTCTAACCACAACACTAGGAAACTAGAAATCAACCACAAGAAAAAATCTGGAAAGACCACAAATACATGGAGGTTAAATTGCGGTAGAGTCTCCTTTTTAAGGAAAGAAAAAAAAAACCCACAACCTCAAGATATCCTGGTTATACGTGTATGTGACGACATCCCTCACAATCTTAACAGTTGCTCCTGGAAAGAAAAGCCTCGGTGTCATGACTCTCTGTGCAAGAGCCTTGCTACAAAATAACATCCTACAACACAATGAATGGGTTAATGAAGAAATCAAAGAAGAAATCCAAAAGTACGTGGCACCAAATGAAAATGAAAACACAACAGTCCGAAACTTCTGGGATACAACAAAAGCTGTTCTAAAAGGGAAGTTTATAGCAATCCAGGTCTACGTCAAAAATAAAGTAAAATAAAATATAAAATAAAAAATTAAATTAAATAAATTACAGATGAAAAGAAAAGATTTATGGAGCAAATCAGAACGAACCTCCTTGTAATGCTGTGATGTTTTTCAAATACAAGGAAACTGTATTGCCCAATTTATAAGATCGGCTTCTTAAACTTCATTGAATTCAAAAAGTCGAAGGTTGTTTTAGCAATGCTACATTCTCTTAGTTCTTGTGAATGATGCAGGGAATCTCACAGTCCATTTCCCCTGCGAGCACACCCACAGGAGGGACCTCAGCGGGAGAGAAGGCCAGGGCGCTGTCCGCAGTTAGGCGCTGACGCCGTGCATTTGCGCGTGCTGCGCTGTAGCCATCGCAATGGACTCTTTTTTCCCCTAAATTTATTTATTTTAAGAGAGATTGAGAATCCCAAGCAGGCGCCGTGTGTCGGCACAAACCCCGACATCATGAGCTGAGACGGGATCAAGAGTCGGGCGCTTAACCGACTGAGCCCCAGGGCCCCCAGGGCAGTGCCCACTTACATGGCTTCCGTGCGTGCTGTCTGGTAATCACCCACACAGCACCATCCATGTTCCCGGGCTGTTTCTATGCGCTTACCTCCATGGTTCGGGGATAGAGATTTATGTCAGTATGTTTCCCACTCTGGTCTCTGCTTCCAGTGTCTGTGTCGGGGTCCAAACTCCCCTCTTCTTAGAAGGACACCAGTCACCGGATGAGGACCCACCATAACTTATATTTGCACAGACCCTAGTTCCCAGTAAGGCCACACTCACAGCCTCCGGGTGGACACAGTGTTTTGGAGGACACTGTTCAGCCTAGCACAGCTGCCTCGTGGGGAAAAATGTATAATCTAGGAGGCCATTGTTAGGCATCAGTGAGATAAGGACCACACACACACACACACACACACACACACACACACACACGGTAGTTAAAGTGCAATAAAGGACAGCTTAAAGTTGGAAATGCTGTTTTGAGAGATTTATGGGGCAGTTTCTTAGTTTTCTATTGCTGTCGTAACAAGTAACCACAAATGTAGTGGCTTAAAGGAACTCCTCATCTCCGTCCTGTGGGGCTGCAGTCTGGGTGGCTCCGCTGGGCCCTTCCAGGGTCTCCTGGGTGGAGATCACGGTACCGGCCGGGCTCCCTTCCTTTCTCAAGGCTCCGGGACAGAATGTCCTGCAGAATCACTCAGGCTCGCTTTGGCAGGACTCGCTTCCTCACGGGTGTAGGACTGAGGTCCCGTCCCTGCCAGCTCTCAGCTCCCGGACCCCTCTCCCCAGGGCCTGCACCAGGGCCCTCCATCCCGGAGCCCCCAGTGGCCACGGAATCCTTCCATCATGGGGAGTCTCTCAGACTCCCCTTCTGACCCCAGCCAGGGAAGCAGAGGTGGGCCTCGGCTTGCAGGGGCCCGTGGGATTAGATTGGTAATTCAGGATAATCTCCCTATTTTTAGGTCTGTAATCTGCCCGCCCCAGACACCTATGTGCCGACATCTGGACACAGGTATAATCTGCAACTCCCAGGAAGTACCTGGGTGACACGGAGACGGCTGGGGGCTATCGGTACAGAGGTGAGCAAACACACCATATAACCAGGGAAAGACGGAGAAAAGAGAGGCCCAGTGCCGAGCGACAACAGGGTTACAGAGGGAGGAGGAGCCACAGAGATCCCTGAGAATTGGTGGCCAGAGACGTGGGCACAACACAAGCCATGCGTATGCCCCTCCCCCACCCCAGCGCTCCTGCTCACTGTGAGCAGAAGGTCAAGTCCTCACCCACAAGGTCCCTCAGCCTCAAGTCCAAGGCATACACCGTTGCTACTGCTGGGGCTTCTCGGACTCTGAATGTTTTCTCCTGCCCATGAAACATGAAGGAACGAAGACACAGGCCCCATTTAGGCACCTGTACGATCATTCGTTACCTCATACTGTGACGCGGTCTGGGAGTGCAGAAGAATCACCATGTAGAGTTCGTATTCATCCTACCAAAAAAAAAAAAATCTATTGAAAATGTGTTCAACACCACAGTGTAAGCTTCTTTGTATGTATAAGTAATATGGAAGTTAAGGATGTCAGTTTAGATCATTTCAAAAAATATAAAATGTTCCTTCAGCATATTAACCAGCACACATGATAAAGTGCATAAAATCTCATCAACCTTGACGCAGGTTTGAGAGTTAACTGTCGATCACCTCAGAAAAATATCATCAAAGACCAGGACACACACACACAGCACGTGGTCTCCTGCCATGTGCTCTGTGGACTTGGGTCCTGCTGACCTGCCTGAGATGGGCTCCCTGGGGATGGGGGCATTCTCTGGAGAGAGGCCACTCTATCCCTGCTTTTAAGGATCCTTGTCTTTAGGATCTGGATAATAGGAAGACGTGTAAACACCCCATTTCAACTCGCCTTTGATATGAAGGTCGCGTTCATCATGAAATCCCAACAAACTTACGATTCCGTAAGAATGTATATAAAATTGTTATGCATAATTATAAATGTGTGTATGTTACATGTGTACCATTTATAAAAGGCCGCAAATAATCGGGCAGCTTTAGTGGGGGAAAATGGGTTTTAGGAGTGAGCTAGCGGGCTGTGCATTCACACGGCCCATTTGTGATCTGCGTGGCCGTAAGCACATTACTTTGAGTCTGTGAGTGACTTTCCTTCTCCGTAGAATGGAGGCCGTGGTACCAGGCAGAAATTCCATGAGAACTGCAGTCCGGTGTGTGGAATGTCATGTGTGGCTCTCAACTGTTACAGGATAAATATACATGTGTTATTACCTTAACTTCTTTTAGGATATCACCAAATATCAAAGAGCTGTTGCAAATATCTTCAAAGGCTTTTCCATAGACCTGCAGTCTGTTGAACTGCTGGGGGTCACATGCGCATACTTTCTGGAGCTCCTGGTGGAAACACAGAACCAGACATTTCGGGATGTCTTAATTTTCCTTCCGAATCGTTTCTCGGCTGGAGGAATGAGAAGTTCCTTGGGGCTTTCTATCAGAGGGCCCAGCTCCCAGGAGCCCAGGGCGCGGTCTGGGCGGAGCCAGGCAGCAAACCAAGGTGCCGCTGAGTCCCTCCAACCAGTGCTGAGAGGGTCTGATTGTTTGATGGTCCCAGGCGTGTCTATCTTTGTTTTCTGCGTTCACCCCCTTGCACCCTGTATTCAAGGATTCACTGCACCCGCAGGCTCTCTCTCTTCCCACTGGACCTGGCAGCGACTGCCCTCTCCGGGTTGGGTTACTTCTCAGGCACGCTGCCACGTCTCCCTTGCATCTCACGCCCGGTCACTGTGCAGGCCTCACAGCTCCTGGGGGTTCCCCAGAGTGCCTCCCATCACACTGTATTACCTTCCACAGACACGAGCGGCTCCAGGGAGAATGTACCTACATTGCCTGTCCACCCCCGCCTCACTCTCCCCTCACGTGCTTTCAGAGCGAGCGAGGCACACCCTTTGTCAGGTGCATCTGCAATCCATGAACATTGTATTTATCACAGCTGCCAGAGAGCTGGAGCTCTCCCTATGAAATCCCCTCCAACTGACTCAGGGTGTGGGCTCAGCCTCCTTTTACTTCTCCCTGTCATGAGCTACATCATGTCAGATGTTCTCAGCCCCGGGGGGGGGGGGGACACACTACATCCCACCCGGAAAGGCAAACGAGGTGTCTGAGTGCGCACGGCCACCCCTCAGCGTGGGGCTGGAGCCGTGTGCCCACGGGTCTGCGCAACCAACCTCCTCACCTGTTCCAGCTTCCTCTCCTGGCATATGGCCGCCTCCCTCCCCGTGAAGTCGCTCTTCAGGAGATCTTGCTTTGCAAGGACTTCTTTTTGGAAACGCAAGAACTTCCTGTACTTGTCTGCCTTCGTTATGCCGCCCAAGTACGAGCTGATGTAGTGGAATTCATCGTCCCGACGGGGAGGCACCGCGCACTGACGGCTGGACTCCACGGTTCGGTACCTTAGAACCTTCATCTCCGGCAACCTCAGCTCTTCTCTCCTCCGCCCTTCCGGAGAGCCCTCTCTTCTCAGGGCCTTCCTCTGAATGAGACCCTCCTGTGAAGTGTGTGGACTGTGTGCCGCTGGGTTCAAATACCTGAACAGCGGGGTGTGCTGGGCCTCGTTTGGCCCCAGAGCTGTGTTGAGGGTAAAATAAGCCAGTGCGTCTTTCATCTGGGCGATCGTCTTATCAGAGGGCTTTCCCACGCTGAAGACGGTCTCCCCTCTGGGTCTGTTGGCATTGGGCCAGTGATACAGGATGGTCTCGGGCGGCCTGTAGAGCTTACTGGGATTCAAGTGCCCAGAGGTGTAAAGGTAGACGTCCTCTCTGTGATCCTTCTGAAGTCTGTTCAGAAGCTCGGTGAGATTGCATAAGGTCTTCACCCCTGGCACCTCACAGTGTCTCGCCCTCAGGTGAGCTGCGCAGGGAAGATAACGAGACTATTAAATCGGAGCTCCTCAAGAAGACAGTAAGGCCGCTGCGCGTATCTGCCGAGCTGGCGTGTCCCAATCCCGGGGGGGGGGGGGGGGGGGGCGGGTAGGAGGCACAGGGCGGCCCGGCTGGCTCAGTGGGCACAGCGTGAGGCTGTCGGTGTTGGGGTGGCAGTTTTATGTCAGTGTGGAGATTACTTCAAAATAAAATAAGAGAGAGAGAGAAGGAAGAATGGAAGGAAGGAAGGAAAGAAAGAGAAAGAGAAAGGAAGGAAGGATGGGAGAGAGGAAAGAAAGGAGGGAGGGAAAGAAGG